CTTCATAAACTAATGACTCATACAAACCATTTTAACATTTTGTGTGAAATGGTAGGATGACAATCAGTATGATATGAATATGTGAAATACACTCCTGAAATCTGACAATGGAAGAAATTAAGTTCTTTTGTGATTGTTGATCCGTGGGATGAATTAATTTCTAATGTAATAGGGGCTAATTGCTATCAGAAAAGTCTGTCCTGTGATTTATAATTCTTCCTTGAGTACTTAGCAGGTATTTTCTTTTTTTAAATTTATTTTTAAGTTTTTAAATTTATTTTTATTAATTATAGTTTATTCACTTTGTATCCCATCTGTAGCTCCGTCTCTCTTCCCCTCCCAATCCTACCCTCTCTCCCTCTTCTCTACCTATGCCCCTCCCCCGAGTCCACTGATAGGGGAGGTTCACTTTACATCTCAATGGTAGTTCCCATCCTCCTCTCCTCCTGGTCTCATCCTCTCTTCCTTAGCAGGTATCTTTTTTTTTTTTTTTTTTATAAATGAATAAATGGTGGCTATCATTTCAATGAATAGGGTTGTATTTTGTTGTTGTTTTGTCATGAAACCTTTCAAGTTCCTTGAAAAACTAAAATTCTAATTACAAGTTTAGAAACTTGTATCCATTATTTTAAATTTATTGATTACCTGTGACTTCTCAAGGCCTTCATAGTAAAATTGTTGGTGGTATAAATAATAAATGAGCAAGTATATATTTTATATTTCACAATGAAGTGTGCTAACATTTGTATAACATATTTAGTCAATATATAATTCAACTGAACAATGTGTAAAAATAGAGAATGTTCAAACTTACCTCTGAGTACTTGATTCACTCAAAGTGAAAGTAAAAAATTTTAGTGTAGCAAAGTACAAAAAGATTATTGGTGTAGTTTAAATGCCAATTATGCATTAACGCCCTAGCATTTTCAGAATCTATTAATAAATTATCCTCAAAGGCCCTTTTATTTCAAATCACATTTTTACTATACTGACTTCAAGATGGGTTTATCAATTTATGTCCCTTGACAGAGATACCAGCACTTCTTTGCCTTAGAAAACAAACATACATCATAGACAGTGTTGCAAATTAGCATCTCAGAAACATGAAATTCAAGTGTGCAACCCGTCTATGGTGTGTCTAGGAATATGTGAAAATTCAAGGGTTATATGACATCACATTTCAGTACTAAAAATGCATGTTGGCACTTTACTTCACGTATTTGTGAGAAACTTTAGAAGCTTTCAGCACTCTGACTGCAAGCTGTAGAGGTGCTTGGTATGTCTTAGGAAATTCAGCCTTCTTTGCCTTAAATCCTAGCTCTTGGGACAGGGCCCCACACCAGGCTAGTACCCAAATGCTTGTTGATTTGACTTGAGTATCGTTTCCTAATAATAGAGGTTGACAATTTGTACATGTCAACTGTTTGAAATTTAGAAAAAATATACTCTCCAAATGATATAGTTTTCAACACTATTCTCCAAATTATTTTAATAAGGGTCATGTTGCTCTTCGAACTTGTTAGTTTTAGGATGTGAGTCATCCATAGGTTTAAAATCGTGTGTCAAGTAAGGAATGTACAAAGACTGACCTCTAAGACAATTTAGATAATTTAGTCTACACATTTTATTAACATCTAAAACAGACAGACAAACCGACAAACAGACAGACACATATACATGCACAACACCACATTCCCGTCTCTCACTGAGACAAATACTTCATGAAGGTGCAGATTGCATTCATTTTGTCTATACTACTTACCACCTACATCCTAAAGCCTAGAAAATTCTTCACAAAATCATAAGAATGATAAATATTTTCTTAATATATTATGCTACCACTGAAATACAGTGCTCTCAGCAAATGATATGATGAATGTTGGAATTGTTAGTGTAAGTTTTTAAAATAAAATTTTGTAATATATAATCACCGTATTGTAAACATATTGCATATGTACAAGAGTTACATATGTAACTCTTATTGCATATTACATATGTACAAGGGTATAAGAGTTACATGATCCTGAAAACAAAGTCAATTAATTTACCCATTGTGTCTGCATAGTCACAGTTATGTATATATGTGTGGTGGGATTTAAAATGTATGCTCCTAAAATTTTGCCAAGAATAAGATACAGTGTTAGCTCCCATTGGTAGCCTGCATACTAAACTGCCAGAAATTAATCATTTATTATTAATCCAGGGAATAATTAATATTTTAGCTACTTCCTCCACCTTGCCTTTTGCCTTATTTTGAATTGAAATTTTGCTTAGAATCTTTGACACCAGGCTTAATGGTTCACCTTGAATTGTGGAAATTATTAGATTCTTAAGATCTTTACATAATTTTATTTTAGTGACATTAATCTTGGGGAGTATTTTTGACAGCTTATTTATATTGTCTTGTCTCCTCTTGCTGCCATGTGCAGTAGACAGTGGTGGCTCACTATAATGAAGAGGAAATTGTTTTATCTGAATAAATGTTCATAGTGCATTCTTGCTACTTAATATATTTATTCAGAGCTGGGCACTTTGGTGCACACCTTTAACCCTAAAACTCAGGGAGGCAGAGGCAGGCAGATTGTTGTGAGTTTGAGGCCAGTCTGGTATAAAAAGTGAGCCTAGGACAGCCAAGGCTACACAGAGAAACCCTGTCTCAAGAAAAGTATTTATTTAATGAATGAATGGCTGAAAAAATACACGAAGATCGAACTAATTTATTTACTTATGTGCCTCTAAACTGAAAAGTATAAACATTTAAAATTTTATTTAATATTTATATTAACATAACTAACTAACTAACTTCTGTATTTCCCTCCCTCATCTCCTCTCAGTTTCACCCTCTCTTTCTCTTCTCCCCTTATGCCCCTCCCCTAGTCCACTGATAGGGGCAGACCTCCTCCCTTTCCATCTGACCCTAGCCAATCAGGTCTCATCAGGACTAGCAGCATTGCCTTCCTCTGTGGCCTGGTAAGTCTGTTCTCCCTTGAAGGGTTGGTGATCAAAGAGCCAGTCACTGAGTTCATGCCAGAGACAACCCTGTTTCCCTTATTAGGTAACCCTCTTGTAGACTGAGCTGCCATGTGCTATATCTGAGCAGGGGATCTAGGTCCTCTCTGTGAATGGTCCTTGGTTGGAGCATCAATCTTTACAGGGCCCCCTGGGCCAAAAGTTTTGGCTCTGTTGGTCTCCTTGTAGAGCTCCTGTCCCCTCCAAAAGTACTATCAGATATCTATGAAGTATAAAGGTAACCAGTTTCAGAATGTGGTCTATAATCCTAACTCTACCCTTAACTTTGAATGTTGTAGTTTGCTAAGTCTTCCTTGATCATAACTCATAAATGAGAAAGCTTACACTATATGTACTTCTGAAAAACATAGGCACGACAGCATTATTTTAAGAAATTTAAACAGGTGTCATAAACAATAATAACAATTGCCATTTTAAATGACTTAAAAAATTGAAAGTTGCTAGAGCTTCATTTAAAAATGTAGAAATAATGGTCTATTATTATCTCGGAAGAGGAGATAGTGACTCCGTCAGGCTCTGGTGTTTTAACTGGTAATCGCTCAGTGTTTTAACTATTTCATAGTCTGCTTGTTCTAACAGGAAGCTCAACTGTTGTTCTCTTTTAGTTTCTGTTCTCAATGAAGGATTCTATTTTTAAATGAAATGTTCACAGCTCATGGTATATACTCACTTATAAGTGGATATTAGACATAAAATATAGGATAAACATATTCAAATTTGTACACCTAAAGAAGCTAAACAAGAAGGAGGACCCTGGGTAAGATGATCAGTCCTCACTCTGAAAGGGAAATGGGATGGACATAGGAAGAGGGAGAAAACAGGAAACAGGACAGGAGCCTACCATAGAGGGCCTCTGAAAGATTCTATCCAGCAGGGTATTAAAACAGATGCTGAGACTCATAGCCAAACTTAGGGCAGAGTGCAGGAAATCTTATGAAAGAAGGGAGAAATAGAAAAACCTTTAGGGGACAGGACAGGAGCTCCACAAGGAGAGCAACAGAACCCAAAAATCTGGGCCCAGGGTTCTTTTGTGAGACAGATACTCCAACCAAGGACCATGCATAGAGATAACCTAGAACCCCTGCATAGATGTAGCCCATGGCAGCTCAGTGTCCAAGTGGGTGCCCTAGTAATGGAAACAGGGACTGTCTCTGACATGAACTTAGTGGCTGGCTTTTTGATCACCTCCCCCTGAGGGGGGAGCAGCCTTGTATGCCACAGAGGAGTACATTGCAGCCAGTCCTGAAGGTACCTGATAGGCTAGGGTCAGATGGAAGGGGAGAAGGACCTCCCCTATCAGTGGACTTGGGAGGGGCATGGGAGGAGATGAGAGAGGGAGGGTGGGATTGGGAGGGAATGAGGATGGGGGCTACCATTGGGATACAAAGTGAATAAACTGTAATATATAAAAAAATAAAGAAATTAAAAAAACGTCTTTTTCGAAATATCACAAAACACAGAATACATAAATTTAAAAAATTTATTTACATAAATACATAAATTTAAACTCCAGTAACTTCCTTCATCAGCCTAAACATCTCTTTTTATATTTAAGGATCCAAGCTTGAATTTTGGTATTCTTTTCTTTACTCCATTTTGCCTTTATCTCTACTGTACAGCATGTGCTTTTGGCTCTTTCATTTAAGGAAGCTGACCGATACCTTTATTTCTAAAAGAATGAGTAAAGAAACCCGAAGGTGGTTATTTAATGGTAATGATGCAATGAATTAAAAAATATGAATTATTTTATTTTGGAATTCATTATTCTGACATTTAAACAAAGTTTGTCCAAACACTTTCAGAAGACAAGAATGTAGTAATGGGAACATATAATACCCATGACCCTCATAAATACAAGACAATTCTATCATTACTTCAGAAATGTGTAACAAATCATATAATATTTAAATATTTACATTCTGAGACCCTGCACAACCCAAAGGAATATAAGAAGTAAATTGCTTACTCACAGGGATACAACTGAGAGAATTGGTCCGCGTTTGGTGGCACTGTGGCGTTGACTTGGTTGGAGACACTCTGAGAGGTCTCATAATCAACAAATAATCCAAATAAAACAATCATAGCAACTTCCAGGCCTATGGCCATGAGAGAGAATTTGAGCCGCATGGCTGTGAAAAAGGACAGAGTGGCAGTGAGGGCTTCACAGGCTGTGTGGTGTTGATAAGAGTAGAGGGCTGTTCTGTATGTGGAGTTACGTTGCACATTCAGAGTTCAGAGCACCCGAAGGACACTGCATACACACACACACACACACACACACACACACACACACACACACCCCATACCATAAAAAAAGACAAGACTAGTTAAAATGCCCTTAACTGGACAAGACTAATTAAAATGCCTTAACTTAACTGAAAACAATAAGTTCTGTAATGTAATTATTTTGTTATTTTGAATGTTAAGGAGTATATTATGTAGACTGGAAGAGACTAATGTCCCATACAATGCAGAATGCAGAAAATCAAAAGATATACTGTATCTATATCTAGAATTGTATTTAGCCTAATTCCATAGACACTTCTTCAGTTCCTATTATGTGCTTACCAATTTTCTTGCAGAAATTTGGGAATTTATTTGAGAAAGTAAGAATATAAGCAAGGGATTGTGTGAAAACAAATAAGGGATGAAAGAATATTTATAGCACATCTTTAAATAGATTAGAAGAGTTCAAGCTTCTAATTATATTAAGTGAGTGACAGGATTGGCACTACTTAGTGTTTTAATTGCATTAATTAATTTATATATATATAAATATATATAAATAAATATATATACATATATAAATATATATATGTATATAACAACTGTATAGGCATTGAGTTACCATAATGTGCCCTATAAAACATAAAATAAAAACTTAAGGAATGTAAATGCTACTGTAATATTTAGTAATATATTCTATGTCCATGTTTTATCAAAATATTTAGAGTATACATTCTATCAAAGTGTAATTTTACTTTTAATATACTTTATCTTAAGCTAAACTTTGCACTGTCTTGTAAAATTGAATTTTTATGGAAACTAAAGGGTCTTTTCCTATAAAACATAGACAGAACAATATACATCTCAGAAAAACATGGTGTATAACAGTTATGGCAATTTGTTAAGCAAACTTGGAAAATAGTGAGATTTGGAGTGAAGAGGGGGTAGCTGGAAATAAAGTTATCTTGTTGATTGTCTATGTAATCAAGGGCCATGCACACAACATTGAAGATGCTGGATGTTGGTTATTACCTTATTGGCTACAAGGAATATACAGCATAATAAGAACCAACTCTGCCAGATGATATACTTTTTTAACCACATACAAGGCGTCTTAGTGACTGTTCAGTTGGTGTGAAGAGATATCATGACCAAGGCAAATCTAATAAAATAAGACATTTAGTTGAGAGCTTGCTTACAGTTGCAGAGGGGTGGTCCATCATGTCAGGAAAGTGACAGGCACAATAATAGCCCAGTGGCTGAGAATTTTACATCCTGATATGCATGCAGAGAAAGATGCTTTTAACATGGCATGAGCTTTTGAAATCTCAAAGCCCACCCCAGTGACACACTTCCTTTAATAAGGTTACACCTATCTTAACAGAGCTACACCTGCTAGTCCTTCCTAAACAGTTCCAATAACTGGGAATCAAGCATTCAAATATATGACCCTTCGTGTGCCATTCCCATTCAAACCATCACACACTCATTTACACAAATGTCAACACATCGCATAAAAAGTTAGAATATGTATTTTCATCTTATAATAGGGGAGAATGAACTTAATCAGGGAAATAGTTGATCTACTATCTTGACAAATGTTATCAATCTATTGATAAGTAATCCAAAACTACCCTGTGAATAGAAGACTTTTTCCCCAACATGCGATTATTCTCCTAGAGGAATTGATGTGTTTTCGAGAATATAGAGAAAACAATTAAATAAAATTGCTGTCTCTTAACCTTATTTCAGAACCTTCTATGTAAAATATTAAGAAAATTGCAGTTGTCTGTTCATTCATTCATAGTCTACACCACGACAACTCTTTGTTGTTTTACAAAGCATAGTTTGGGCTGTGGGAGGATTGTTTAGTGGGTAAAGCACCTGCCTTGCAAGTATGAGGACCTGAGCTCAGTCTTCAGCATCCACATGAAAAGTGGGGCATGATGGCATGCACCTGTAATCCCAGCACTAAGGAGGAGAAGATAGGTGGGTTTCTGAGGCTTGCTGGTCAACCAATCAGCCAATCACCAACCGCAAAGTTCAGTGAGAGATGCTCTCTCAAAACATAAGTTTGAGATCAACGTAAAGGACAGTTGAAGTCCACTTATGGCCCTAGCACTCTTGTGAACACACACATGATCAGACACACAGACCCAACAGAGCAAGTGTATGTTTGTGCATGTGTGCATGCATATATATATATATATATATATATATATATATATATATATATATATATATATATATATCCCTTTGGAACTTTTTTCATGGTAGAAAATAAGGTGGTAGAACTAAATTACTTCTGAAAATTTGTAAACATCCAACTTGAAGACTTGGAGAATATCTATTTACCTTGCCCATTACAGGAATCACAATGGGAGTGTGTTGCCTGTCTGCTTGAGGGAATACATGCTCATGCCACACTTTAATTTCTGATGTTGTAGTGTTCTTAAGAGTGTTCATAGGATTGCAATGAGTAGCAAATCTGAATTATTTATGCTAATAAACTGTACATTTGCCTTTGTAAACCCAGTAACAAATTATACATCATAAAGATGTATAAATATCATATAAGTCAGCGTGGTTTAAATTACATAACAAAATGAAAAAAATGCACCAAATAATCCAAGACCTATCTGGCTGTTCATTCTAATGTAGTAACTGGTCAGCACAGTGGGAACAGGACTTTCTAACTACCTAGTGCTGTGAAAGATTTCTCTTCAGTGGTTCACCTGAAGGAGTTCTGGCTTGCTGCCTTTGTCTTGTGTGTAAACTGTGTATTGAAATAGAGTCACCACGAGCCACCTGTAGGAACTACCTCTCCCATCAATTATTACACACATGACTTTTTCTCTAATTCAAACAAGATCCTCACAGTGTTTCCTCTCTCCACTCTTCAGGACTCATGTTTCAAAATGTTACTTGCTCATCAAAATCCTTCCTCTTCAATTTTAGACCAGGTTTTCACCATTATGTATTTTTTTTTAATATTAGCCATATTTCTGGTACAATTAAATTGCAAGGAAATAAATACTTTGTTTTGGCTCATAGTTTCAGAGATTAATTTTTTTACATGATTACTTATTTTTAATTTTTATTTCATGTTTTTTAACTGCTTGTATGTTTGTGTACCACATCAGTGCCTGGTGCCGAGGAAGGCCAGAAGAAGTGTGTTTCCTGTAACTGAAACAGAGTCTGTGAATTGAAATGTTGGTGCAGGGAACCGAATCTGGGTCATCTGGAAGAGGTAACCGTGCTCTTACTCAGTGAGCCACTACTCTAGTCCAAGTTTTGGAAGTTTTAGTTAAAGAATCTGAAGACCTACTTACTGCTTTAGCTTCAGATGGATATGTGTATGAGGAGGAAACTGATTATCTTGTGGCTTTAAGCAAATCAGAGAAAGGAAGGGGATGAGAACTCGTAGAGTCCTGTGAGGATGCTGCCTCTCAAGGAACTATTGTTCCCAAGTAATGAAGGTTTTATTGCCTCTAAGTACTTGGGGTCGTAGTCTTTTTAACACATTTTGCTTTTCATATTATGGTCTTTTCTTGATATATTATGTTTCTATGCAATTTTAAAGGATTTTTTTTTTTTAAACACAGAGACGCATAGCTGAACAACGTGAAGAAAATGAGAAATGTTGGAGCACATGGTCTTCAACGGGACATCTTCATCAAATATCTCCCTTTGAAGTTCAGGAATCTATGTGGAAGAGAAGGCAGGAAGATTGTAAGAGGCAGAGATGGTAGAGTCATCTGACGCCAAGGAAGCAGCAGCATCCTTACATGACAGGACGGATGCACATATTAACTTATAGACAGGTGACAATGTCTACAAGACCCATATAGGCTTAAAATACATAAAACCCCAGCATTGATAAATGAACTTAAATTTATCACACCTAACCATGAAGTTATTACAATTGATAGCTCTGGGAAGGGGAAAAAGTAGTTTTTTTTTTTTTTTTTTTTTTAATGATTTGTTACTGAGTATATCAGCCACACTCCAGGGCAGGCCCCATGCCCAGGAATAGTTGGCCAAACAAAACAAAACAAAATAAAAAACAAAAAACAAACAAACAAAAGAGTCCATGGTGGTTTTTATTTTCCTGAGCTTTTTGTTCTGTTTTTGCTTTGCTAATTTTTGTTTTATTAGTTTATTGTTTGTTTGGTTTTTCATTTCCTTCTTTTACTTTTGGAGAGAAAAGCGAGATAAAGAGATATAGAGAGATACAGAGAGATGAGAGAGAACATGGATTTGGGGAAAGAGAGAGTTAGGGAGAATCTGAGAGGAGTTGGGGGAGGGAAATATGATCAAAATGTATTAGTTAAAAAAGTAAAAGACTTGAAAAAAAAGATATTGGAAAAACAAGTAAGTAAACAAGCAAGCAAGCAAACAAATCCCAATCTGATTTGTTAGCTTCTAGGGACAAGATTCTGTCTCCTTTGCATGCTGCATGTCTATTATCAATAGTGTATCTAACAGTATAAAAATGATCAATATCATTACGATGAACTGAACTGGGGTAGACTTGAAGAAGAAGTAAGGGATTAGAGAGCAGTCCAAAGTCCAAATGTGAAGGAGGGAAGGAGGAGTAGCTTGAACTTAATGAATTTAACATTAGATTAAGAATTGTATAGCAGTAGCATATCAATAGCATATTCTGCCATAAAATCCATAATCTAATGTATCATATATAAGATATAGTAGCATCTTTGCAGTAACTTGGATACTGTAGGCTCTGTCACTGTTCCAACAGAAAGGGCTTGTCATTGCTACCTCCATGTCAGAAGCAAAACTGATCACTGAACGCGAATCAGGGTGCTTGGAAGGACCTGAGATCTGGCTGGAGGCCAACAGAACAGTGTGGGTCTGGAAACATTGACTGCCTTTTTCAA